CCTTGGTTTCACAACTGAGGGAAATACTTACCTCTATTGTACTGCATCATCATCTCCTCTTTGAGAAAATCGCGACACAGCTCACAAGTAGCAGGAAGAATTTCTGGCGCCGTTATCAGGGAGACATCATCAACAACTATCAAGTACCTATGCATAAACCTTCATCTACTTGCATTTACATTATTTGTCATTTGCCTCTCGTTGTCATCTCCCCCACTTCTAAAAAGTTTTTACAAAAATACAAAAATATTTTCCGTTTGCCATTTTGCTTGTTTGCTTGCTTTTTGTCGTCATGTCATGACTCAAAAACATAAAAGAAACAAGAAAAATAAAGATAACTATTGATCCACTTAAAGTTTTCTACTTGGATCATCTTCGATCCATTTATGCTCGTGCTGAAACCCTCGCTAGTTTAGTTGATGGAAAAATCTTTAGATGAGCATGCTCCTTTTGTTCGTCACTGTTTGTCTCAGAAAGGGAGACTCCGATGGCATCAAATAAATTGTATGCTATTCTATGCTTGCAATCTATGTGAAATTTATGATTTTACTTGTTGCTCGGAGAACCCTAAAAACATCTTCCCTACCGATGTGAGTTTAATGATAATGAAGTCTTATCTTCTTATTCTAAAGGTGTTTATAGTTACTATGATATCGAACAAATGGAAGAATTTTTTGCTTTTAAGGGCGCTTATGAAGTTGCTTCTTTGTTTGAAAAGTATGATATTACTCTCTATAAATCTGAAATTTTTGCCATACTTAAATATTGTTGTGAAAACTATGCTTCTAATGCCTATGTTAGTGAATTCATTAGGAGAATGTCTGCTGCTTTGGAAGAGAATAAAGCTATACATGAATCTATAGATAATTTGACGGAAATTTTTGAAGATGACAAACATTTATAAAAAATTCATCATCATCGTTTGAATTTAATGAAGATTTCTTTTCTATCAAAAAATTTGAATTCAATGAAAAAAATTGAATTTCAAAAAATGTTCACCGGTTTGAAAAAGTTGTTCCCAGATTTCACACAATGTTTGTGAATTTTGTAAGAGAAACCAAAAAATCAAAAAATGAAAAATAAAATAAATGGAAAACGAAAATGAAAAGAGAAAGGAAAAAAAGGAAAAATAAAAAGAGGTAAAAACGAAAGAAAAAATGGTTTGGGATGGTGCTAGAACCTTCTCAAAACCAAAAATGGCTAGCTCGGTCAGGCCGAACCTACGCAGTGTGAAGGGGATACTTCAGCCGAGTGGGCCTCCTGGAGGCGGGATCCTATACAACGCGTAGGTCGCCAGCTAGCGACACAACACGCACCCTCCGAGCTCCCCCGTTCACCGTATGTGCCGGCCCATTTTTCGGTTTATTTTGCCATTGGTTTTCGGAAGGTTTTAGAACCTGCCAAGCACCATTTTTTATGTTTTCTACACCGGTTTTTTTGTTCTTCTTTTGTTTTCACATTTTTCTTTCTTTTCTTATATTTTCTTTTGTTTTTTTTTCATTTCCTTTTCTATTTTCTACTTCACTTTTTGACTATTTTGGCATTTTTTATTTTCAAATTCGTTAACACTTTTTTTGTTCATCGAATTCCAAAAATGTTCAACCATGTAAAAAAATGTTCAACAATCAAAACATGTTCATCAAATTCAATTTATTGTTCATAAGATTAAAAAATGTTCATGAAAATTCAAAATTTTTTCATCTAACTAAAAAGTTGTTCAACAGATTCTTTTTTTGTTCTTTGTTTTCAAAAAAAATCATCACATTCCAAATTTGATCACTGAATTAAAAATTTATTCATCATTTTTCCAAAAAATGTTCATCAAATTTAAATTTTGCATAATTTTTTCTATCAAATTAAGGAAATGTTCATCAGATGCCAAATTTGTTCATTGATGTTCAAAAAATGTGCATTCCTTTGAAATCATGAACATTTTTTGAATTCCAGAAATGTTTTTGAATCCGGTGTAAGTTTTTTTTAATTCCGTGAACATTTATCATTTCACGAACATATTTTTCAATCATGAACAATTTTCGGATTCACGAACGTTTCACAGGTTGTAACTTCTTTGAAATCCCGAATTAGTCTTATAATGGAAAACAATTTAAAAAAAAGCAACAAAAAGGATGCTTCCGCTTTCCCGCCTCACACAAGGGCCGGCCCATGAGGGAGCGGGGGGTCCGCGCTCCGTCGTTCGCTGGCGTGTACAGTGCTAAATAGGAGGTCTCCTCCGGAGTGCCTCCAGCGGACTAGGCTTTTCAGAATGGACTTGGATCACGTTGGGCATGCAAAGTTGTTCTCTATTTTGGGCCTACCCATGGGATCCCGCCATCATTTGTGGTTAGAGAAAAGAAAGTACGTATAGCTAGCTCAAGTATATAGTTCTAAAAAAACTAGCTCAAGTATTCTTTCCGCCATAGTCAACCGTTAGTATGACGTGTAGGACTGCTAATTAGTAAATCCATATTCGGACAGGGCTTCGTTGTATATATATATATGTTTGAAACATCAAGACTTTATTTCTCAAATAATCGCAAGGTCATTTACAAGGGTATGAGAAATAAAAATAGGGAACGTAGAGTCTAAAAAACAAGAAGATCTATCGCTAAACAAGTTCCTCGCAAGATCAATTGCAACTTCATTTGCTTCCGGCAGGTAGTGGGTATGTGGAACATCTGCAAAGTCCAGTGCTAGCTCTTGGCATTCAAGAACAATGGCTATGTCCGAGCCCACCTCCGCAGCTTTTTGCACCACCTCCGCAGCAAAGATGCAATCTGTTTCTATAATGAATTTATTGCACCCAATTCTCCGTGCTAGGTACAAACCATTTCGTATTGCAGTAATCTCTGTTGTTTAAACACAATTTGAGTGCTGGAATTATTTACTACAATGCAAAAAGTGCACTATTATATGGTTATTCTTGCCTATTATAAAATTCAATTTCTATGCGTATTATGTGCAAATTTTCGGCACGATTCGTTTAAGTTTTTTTTTCTTTCTTCTTGAAGGGTACTACCAAGGCAATTAATTCATTCATTGTTAGAAAACTGTGTTTTAGATTTTATTTTAGTTTTACTATATAGAAGGCCGGAGGAAGAAGAAACAAGCGAGGCAGAAGGCTAGATGACGAAGAAGGCTGTTGGACCTTTGGATCTTGATCGGACGGTGGAGAGTGATTTGATTGAACCCAAAAAATAATTCAGTTGCTAGTTTAATAGTTAGCCCATTTGTATATCTACCATCGTTTCAATAAAGCAGATTGATGAATATCTACCGTTAAAATATACTACCGTTAGATCGGTCAATCTCCACCATTCTTTTTTTACCGTCTCAATAATGACTAGCTAGATGCGTGGCCCGCGCATTGACACAGCTTGGTTTATGTATAACGCTTTATTTATAAGTAATTTGGCCCCGATGACAGCTGCTATTTTCTTTAATTCCTCATTACATTAGCATTAATATATAGTTCAAATTATACATATAAAAAAGTTTGTAGGAATAAAATTCACTTTGAGAAATGTGATGGTATTTTGATAGGTGAGTATATTAGACCGTTGCAAAAGCACTAGCTATAATATCTATATCAAGCGGTTGAGTGTATTAGACTGTTGCGAAAGCATTGACTATCATATTAATATCAAGCTTTCTGTCCTGCATTCCCCATCCCCGTTGTCTATTTTCCACCAATAATTTTGCAAAGAACTATATAGTAGTAACAACTTAAACATTTTATGGGTTGTACTCATTGTGTTCTCTACTTTAACTCTAATCTTCAATGGTCGTATTGCAATTGCATTTTCTAGTACTAAAATATTGTTCCTCCACATGCTCTAATTACCTGTGTTGATTGCAATCCTAAGTTGAGTTTATAATAAAAATGCAACTACTAATGGAATATATTTCAAAATTTGACTATGTATGGTTGACATATGGAGTTTTTAAATTGTTGTTCCAAATTTAATGGACAAAATATAGTTGTATACATATTTATATACCTAATAAAAGTCATATACATGCTCTAAATGTTTAATTAGTATTTTGTTCAAGAGAATATATCTTTACTTTTAGGACACTTTTGTGTGGGTTGCCCGCATTTGCACACCTAAATGTGTGATGTAACTGGTATAGTCACATTTTCAAGTACTTATCTGCTAGCTTGTAGTCATGCTGGCGAGTTGTTCGTCTTTCGGTTCATGTTCATGTCCATTACTATAATTTGCTCCGCGTGCATTGCAGTCTATCATAATTATGGTATTATTATTATTATTATTATTATTGCTTTAAAACTCTATGTTCTAACACAATATGTAGAGAAAAAGATTCTACAGTGACCATGCATGCATGTCTTCATCGTGTCCTTCTCCTGAAGGATTTTGATTGCTTATGTATCCGACCAGTTTTCTCCTTCTAAATTGGCATTACATTTTCCAATGCTTGTGTGTACTAAATCTGAACCTATTTTTTGTTGCTTCATCTGAGCAGTTATTTTCCTATTATTTAAATATAATAATAGATATAATATATTTTAAATTATGTTATTAAATTAACTTGAATATTCTAACTTCTGTAAAGATATTTGTTAACATTTACATTTTGAGTTTAGAACTCTATACCTATCATACATGATTGTACAATGTGATTTGGTTATTCGTCTAATGGACAAAAACATGTAAACAGTTAAAATAGCTTAATTTTGAGCCTAGAGTTCAGATCTTTACATCACATTGGTAATTACCACGAGTGAAAATTTGAAGGGAATATAAATGGCACCGAAATTTTTTCTTCTCAAATTTCAATTGTTCATGGCCTAGTTCATATGGAATTCAACTTTTTTCCCAGGAACCACAATGTTTCTATTAAATTTAGTTCAATTTTCAAACAGCTTGGACAAATTAGTTTTTGAAACCACATGTTCTTAAACACAAATTTGAAATCCGGACACTAAGGATGCACATTACAAAAATATTAGCTAAAATTGAAGCTATAAACGTGCGCACCTTTTGTCCTCTAGGAAATTCGATATGGTGTGGATGGTATCTTCCTCCGTCCTTGCTTTGGTGCCAGCAGGTAGTTCAGCTCCTACTTGTTGGAGAATACTTGTGAGAACCTCCTTCATGTTGGCGGTTGGAGTGACGGACACAAAAGCCCGGGACTGGAACTTATTTCCAATCTCCTCATACACAAGGCTGGCAAGGGTTGTTTTGCCCACACCGCCCATCCCAACAATGGATGCCATTTTGAACTGCGGCTGAGCCATTGTGCTCCCTTCTCCTACCAGGTATGTTATGAGGTCCTCTCTCCATCTGCCCATACCAATGATCTCTGACGCATTCTTGCAGACAAATGGAGCTCGATGAGGAGGCAGTTTGCTGGGGGTGCTGGATTCTGCCCTTTTTTGTTGAATATAAGCTACAGACGCGTTCAGCAGGCTTGATCTTCCACTTGCTGCGGCACCGGGCTGACACGTCATCTACTCTTGTCCTGAAATCTTGGAAGGGGCTTGCTTGGATCTTGATCTGTATCTTCAGGTGCTTGTTTCTGCGGCTGGGCTCCATGGTGTGGATGAAGTCGTCGATGGCGTCGTGCATATCATCAGCGAGATCCAGCGCTTCCTTCTTTAACTCCTTGGATTGCGCATCAAGAGTCTCCTTCCCCCATATTGCCCAAAGGATGGAGTGCATGGACTGATGAACTTGACGTCCTTCTGAGTCCGGCGCTGAAGCTTGTACTCGCTGCCCAGCAAAGCACCCAGCTTGGCCACGACGGGCCCCAAGGCCCCCGTGGCTGCTGTCACGGGAGCTCCCTCCATGGCTCAGCTAGGGCGTGCAGGCTGTATGCACTGGAGCGCCGCCGCCAAAGAACATATATGTGTGCGTGTGTGTCGAAGCCGACGCCGGTCCGGTAGCCGTCCTTGCGAACTGTGTCTACCTCGGTGGAATGTGGAGATCAACCTCCAACTGGTTACTTCAGCTGGTTATCATAGCAAAGAAGAGATTAAGTTATGCCTTCTCCTGGGTTGCAGCAAACCCAGATTCCAACAAATAGAAAAACGGTTCTTTGTCTTGATGATTTGGCAAAGCGGGAGGAAAAGATCGTTGTGCTCCTTTTTATTTTTCTAATGAATGAAAGGCTACTCCCACAAGACAAGCGATCTCAAAGGTATTGCACCAAGCTTATCTTCTTTTTTTCCTTTTTATATTGGACAAGTTTTTACTCTCACTCTCTTTTGCTTTTTAAAAAGCAGTGCTCCAGTTGTGCCTCTTGGTGGATGCATTCCTTGGAGACCAGCAAAGCAACTCGGTGCTTTTCCAAAAGAATCACCCTTCCCTTTTCTTTTTCTTTGTTATTGTGGAACACTATCATTTCGAGCTTTGCCATTCTGCTTTGTTATATGTAATGATGAATTTGTAATGTGTGAGATACTTTAGTGTCTTCCATAATCCAGAGAAAATGTTTTGCCTGATAAATGACGAAATGACGCTAATGAAAAATGTTGCACATTGTTCCTTTGGTCAAGTCCCCCTTCCACACCTTTCCTCGAATGATTCATACTTCAGGAATGAGTGAATGAGTGAGTGAGTGTGACATACTTCAGGAATGATGCTTCCCTTCTCAAATGAGCAAAGTTGATGCATGCACGGTCATGTGACGTCAATCATGCATGCAGCAAAAGCAAAAGCCCACCAGCTTGCCAACTTTACTTGTGTCCACCACCCTCCTCGATTCCCCGCCCTCTACCCAAGAAACAATCTAACACAGACGCTGGCGCTGCTTGCAGTGTCCCTCCAGCCGCCTGCTAAATCCTCTACCCGGACGGGAGCCACCACGCAGGCCCTCCGCCGCTGACACCTTCGACGACGGCCACCGACTGCTAAAGCCTATTCGGTGGCCAGCATCGCAGGTGCCAACCTCTCATGCTCCCCCTTCTTGTTTCTCACTTCTTTTTGAGGGAAGAGAGGAAGAGAGATCGAACCAACCAGCAGCATAGCCTCTTGTTTGCTTGCCAAGTTGACAAGAAAACTGGAAACTATGTAATGTCTAGAACTGCCAAAAGATGCGAGACCTACATTTTGTTGATTTTCGTTTCATTCCTGTGGTTAATTAGCCGGATCTTCTAGTCGTACTACAGGGTGTACTAGATGCCTAAAAAACAGAGTATTCACTAATTTCCACATGTCGTCTATCAGTGAGTAAATTTCCACCTGACTACAAATTGCCATATTTTCCATAGGTAGGTTATTTGGTTGTGGACGATTTAGTGTTTCATTACCTATATTATTTTCTCACCATGGATGACCCTCCTTTACGGTGTTATAGATAGATTGACAACTGCTGAGGAGGTGGCAATGGAAGTTAGCTCTGTTTATGCTTGATTTGAACTTTCTGTGGCCCACTCATCCTTTGCTGCACTCGCAAGAAGATGGAGATTATGGTGGGTGCTTAGGAAGCAACCATGAAAATAGAGTTTGACAGGAGTACACCGCACCTGCTTCCACCTGCCTGTGCAGCCGCTGCCTTTGATGGTGGCTGCCCTGCCCAGTGACTGCTCAACACTCTTCAGCGACCAGCAGCTTATTGTCCAGTTTGCAGGTGCCTCCTCTGCCCCAAACTCAGTTTTCTGTTGTCTTCCACTTGCCATGGCAGTTAATCTTGACAACCTACCATCATTGTGAGCATCTTTTACACTCAATTAATTAGCACTGTGACATATAAAAAGTACAAATTGGAAAATCCCATGAAGTGCATAACGTCCACAATTTCCTCAGCATTATATGCAATCTTCAGGCATTGTTGGTTTTCATATCATTTTTGGGGATAACTTAGTGGTGTTGATATATATTGTGGTTAGATAATTCTATATGCATAAAATACATTCATCGGTAAAACTTTTGTTCGTATAGTTTCTTTAATTGGGGGCAAATTGATATTCGCTAGAATTGTTCCATGATTTGATTGTCGAGCCTTTTTATGATTAATTATTTTTCTGGCATGATTCATGCTGACCCTTATCTTCCTTTTTTCCATTCTTTTAATAGATCAACAACCGCGGAGCATTGTCTTTGCACTTGCAAGTTACAACAACGGGGGGCAGATTGTAGCAGTGAAGATCACATATAAGGAAGATGGAGTTTGTAGTGGGTGCTTCAGAAGCCACCATGAGATCTCTCCTAGGCAAGTTGGGCGGTCTCCTTGCCCAAGAGTACACTCTGATCCGCGGCGTCTGCAGCATCCGCGGCGACATCCAGTACATCAACGACGAGCTCGCCAGCATGCAGGCCTTTCTTAGCGACCTCGGCTCTGCCCTGGATGATCACGACCGCCGACTCAAGAACTGGATGAAGCAGATTCGTGACATGGCATACGACATGGAAGACTGCATCGATGACTTTGCTCATCGCCTCCCTCAGGACTCTCTCAGTGATGCAAGATGCTCCTTCATCGTGACGATAGTCTACGGGATGTGGACGTTCTGGCCTCGCCGTGACATTGCCTCCAAGATTGCCGAGCTCAAGGTCCGAGCACAGTACATTGCTGAGAGGCGCAGCAGATATGGAGTGAACAACCCAAACCCAAGAACAAGCTCCGGAGCCAGAGCAACCCATGCTGTTACGTATGGCATTGTTGAGCATTTGGTGGCGAGCCGTCAGCTCATCCGCACAGAGAACCCCGTGGGAGTGAAGGTGGACATGAAGAAGCTCGGAGGTTGGCTAGCCAAACATGATAAAGGCTCTCCTCGAGCTGTTGTGTCATTGGTTGGATTTGGTGGTGTGGGAAAGACACCATTGCCATGGCACTGTACCGAGATTTCAGGAATGAATTTGACTGTTGGGCATCAGTCACAGTGTCTCAGAACTTTGATGAAGATGAAGTCCTAAGGGATGTTCTTGGGCAAATCAAGCCAGCAGACAGTCAAATCAAGACAAAGGAGGAGGTGCAGGAGGGCAGCAACGCAGGGAAGGTGGAGAAGAAGAGCCTAGTGACAGGTATTAAAAGCTCAGTTAAGCGAGTTGTGCCACTGCTCTCTGGTCACAGGCCGCAAAGCAATGATGGCAGCATGCAGAATAAGATAGAAACAATGAATCGTGACCAGCTTATTGAAGAACTCAAAAAGCGCCTGCTTGGAAGGAGGTACCTCAAAATCAGTTCTTTTGTTTTTTCTAAATTACTCGTAGTTAGTTAGGAATGACTGTGTATATGCATCAAGTGTCTAAATTGTAGTAAAGCTGCGATAAAATTGTGGTGTTTACCACAGCCATTTCATTCTGAAATATGTACAATAGTGAATGAGAAAAGGAATATTTTTCAGAAAATAGAAACCTTATCTAACTAGTGGAGCCTTGATAAATAAACACCAAAATATTAATAGTTAAAGTTGCGCAAGGAAGTTTCGTCAAAAAAAAAGGTTGCACAAGGAATAATTGTGGAAATTTTATAACTGAACTTCAACTTGTTACCCATAGCAAATTTTATAGCTGAACCTAGTCAAGTATAAATACAAATTTCTGTAGAAAACGTAGCAGGTAACATACTAAAATTGGACCTAAAAAGTAGAATCAAAATCATAAAATTATATCCATCCAATTCATAAAAATATGGCAATTTGGACATAGGTTGGGCCGAACTAGTCGAATTTGTGTTGAATCTGAATATGTATAAGGCTCTCTTGGACTGTTCGGAAGATATTTTTTTTCTCAGTGGTATGAACTTAAATAAGCTAAGGATGTTTGTATTTTGTTTCCTGGTTTTTGGCAGGTATCTCCTCTTGATTGATGATATATGGTCTATACAAACATGGGAGACCATTAGAAATTGGTTTCCACATGATAATAATAAGGATAATAGAGTAATAGTAACTACAAGATTTCAAGCTGTTGGTGCGGCTTGCTCAGAAAGAGATGGAACTGATTATCTGCATACAGTTAATGCCCTAAGTGATGCCGACTCCAAAAGTCTATTTCATCAGGGTGTTTCTGAATCCCCAAGCAGCCCAGAAAGCGAAAGAATGGATATAAGATCTCAAGCTGTTGGTGTTGAGTCCTCTGAAGGAGATGGAACAGATCATCTGCATTCAGCCGATGTCCCAAGTGATGCCAATGCCAAAGGTCCGTTCGATGACCGTGTTTCTGATCCACAGAGAAGCAAAGAAAGGGAGACAGAAGAGGTCCATGAGGAGATATGGAAATATTGTGGGGGTCTGCCTTTGGCCATAGTCACCATGGTTGGCCTTGTGGCTTGCAACCCAACAAGAAACAATGATCATTGGAGTAAAGTTTGCAAGTCATTATTTCTGGAGCAGGTGGCTCCCCTTACATTGGAGGGGGTCACAAGGATACTTGATTATTGCTATAATGATTTGCCAGCAGATCTCAAGACCTGCTCATTGTATCTGAGCATATTCCCCAAGGGCTCGAAAATTAGTAAGAAGCGTCTGACCCGCCGATGGATGTCAGAATGTTTCGTCGCTGAGAAGCAAGGGCTGAGTGCAGAGGAAGTGGCAGAATCATACTTCAATCAGCTTGTAAGCAGGAAGATAATACGCCCTGTGGATCACAACAGCAACGGGAAGGTAAAATCCTTTAAAGTTCATGACATGATCCTATAATATATCGCGTCGAAGTCAAGTGAAGAGAATTTTATTACTGTTGTTGGTGGACATTGGTTGATGCCAACTCCTAGCAACAAAGTCCGTCGACTCTCCATGCAAAGCAGTGGTTCCAAGCATGGGAATTCCACAAAAGGCATGAACTTGTCTCAAGTGCGGTCACTGACAGCGTTTGGAAGCCAGAACAGACGGCTCCCTTTCCATTCATTCAACAATGGAATAATCCAAGTGCTAGATCTTGAGGGCTGGAAGGGTTTGACAAATAAGCATATGAATGACATATGTAAAATGCTAGTGCTGAAGTATTTGAGCCTCCGACGAACAGAGGTTTCTGAGATCCCATCAAAGATCGAGAAGCTCCAGTATCTAGAAACTCTTGACATAAGGGAGACAAATGTCGGTGTGCTGCCCAAAGCTTTTGGTCAGCTCAAACAGCTCCGTAGCATGCTTGGAGGGAACAAAAACACAAAGAAGGCTTTGAAGTTGCCACATGAGAAGAATAAGTAGCCGATGAAAGCACTTCGTATCTTGTCAGGGATATAGATCGATGAGGACTCATCACCTGTAGCAAGTCTTCATCAGCTGACAGGGCTAAAAAAACTTGCCATTTACAAGCTCAATATAAGGGAGGGCGGTCAGACCTTCAAACAATTACGCTCCTCCATTGAGTACCTCTGTAGCTGCGGTCTGCAGACAATGGCAATCAATGATGAGAGCTCTAATTTTATTAACTCACTAGACACCATGACCACTCCACCAAGATACATCATCGGCCTAGAGTTTTCTGGCAAGATGGAAAGGCCCCCACAGTGGATCAAAGAACTCAATAACCTCTATAAGCTGACCCTTTCTGTGACAGTTCTTCAGACTGATACTTTCAAGCTCATCCAGGACCTGCCCAAATTGTTTACGCTCACCTTTACACTCAATGCAACCAAGGATGATAGGGACATAGTGGACATTCTTGAGGAAAATAAACAACTTACCGATAGGGAGATCATTATTCCACCTGGAGGATTCAAGACTCTAAAGCTTCTTCGCTTCTTTGCAACTATGGTGCCAAGGCTGAGCTTTGCAGTTACAGGAAAAGAGGTAATGCCAGCACTGGAGAGGATTGATATGCGGTTTGAAGCCTTTGAAGGGATTTACGGCATTGAGACTCTCAAGAGCCTCCAAGAGGTGCATCTCAGTGTTGGTAATCAAGCAGATGAAATAACCAAGTTCTTGGTACAAGATTTGAAGGACACCCCCAAGTACTTGGATGAAAAGTATGCCAACAAGTGGCCAAAGATAATCACCGAGTGACGAGATTGGAGTATGTCACATTATCTTTCGGTTGACCAACAAATCATCTGGTACGTGTTGTATAATTAAGCGGGGGTTGTTTCATCAAGTCTGCGTCGCCTTCTTGAGGGCTAAATAAACAGACTACATCCATTATTGAATATTGTAATGCATATGTATGTGGTACTGCTGAATCCATCACTCATTCTTGTAATTTGTACTTCTATTGTAATGTTATTTCCATTATTGATCTATTTGAACTTATCTCGTGTTCGGTTGTGGTATGTATATATCCCACAGTACGTGTTTGATTGAGATTTATGTACCCTATATTTAACTAAATAGCAGTCCCATGGTTCAGTTGGTGTATGGAGGTCTCTTGCCCAAAGTGCTGGAGTTTTAGGAAGGTAGATTGCCTTCAAATGCATGCACACAATGGTAGAGTTTATGTTAACCTTTTTTTACCAGGAACTCCAATTTTGTAGGTGTTTGATTGTCTTAGTGAAGCAAAGAAGAAACCCCTGTTTTGTATATCAATGCTCGAAGATTTCTTCTTTGCGACCATACTATAGCAAACTACTCCATGTTTCGTGTTTGGAAACGGCCAATTTTTGTGTTTGCACATTGGCAACAAAGTCATTTATTTTATCATAGGAATTCTCGAATGCATATAAGTTCGATACTACCAGTGACAGTTTTTGACATTTTGGCTGTATACATCCAAAATGTAAGGTTACAGAGAGGTCGGGAGAGTAGATCCTACAGAGTCATTTATCACATAAATGGATGCTAATCTGACGAACAAACCAGGAGCAGGGGGAGAGAACATGATACCTCATCTGGGCCGACAAAAGCGAAAGAATGATGCGAAGTGTCAGAATGATGTGCTGCCAGGAAACAGAGTAGTTACTACCACTGCATGCATAGCGTGTCGATATGATATCCTGGAATTGAGACATATACAGCCATGAGCAATCACTTGATCTGCATACACATTAATCGCTTTGGAAATTCAGCATAGGGCAAATAGTTGGAATCGCCAAAAACAAATAGAGACAAAGAGAGGTTAGATGGTTAGATCTGGCCACAGTCAACAGAGCTGACCAGGTATCTTACTGGATGTCTCTGCAATAAGTCAGATCACCACCCTGCAGGTTACTTGATGGCCAGACTTCAAAGTTCAAACAACTAGGGATGTATATAATGCAAGAAAGGACTGACGGAGTTGCTGAATGGTGCCATGCTATCAATTCAACAATTAAACTTGACTGAATATATAATTTATATACAGAACCAGCACATGAAAAATCATCAAACACAAATTAGGATGTTCAGCAAAACCAAATAAATCTTCAGCTAACTTTAGTTAATTATAAAAGGACATTGAAACGGTCTGTACCTGATCAAGAAGGTCATACACCAACTTAGAGTCTTCATCATAGTTGCCGGTAAGGGTTTCTATCAAGTATCAACTCAAATGCGTACAAGGTGCATCGAGTTCAACAGCACCGTGCATCTCAAATACACTTTTTATTATCGAAAGCGCAGGCCGCCTTATGGCCATTTGATCTCCCCCAAAGTCAGGGCCGTACTTGAGAATTTGGGGGCCCGGTGCATAATCAAAGTTCAGGCCCTGGTAATTAAATTAAGAAAAATAGTTAGCGAAAAAAGTTTTTTTAATTTACCAGATGCACAACACAAATTTTCCAAGAACTATGTGTTGCAAAAAAAAAACATGTACTGCGAAAATGCAAAGTTATGAATTAATAAATATCTAATCTGTATTTTAGTTGGAGCAATCTTTCTAGAACTTCCTTTCAAAAAATCTTCAAGTTTATCTCCATTAAATATTTCCAAGCACAATTTTGAAGTGCTATCTTTGTATTAAAAAATCCGGTCTATTCCATTTTAGTTAAAATGAAACCACAAAAAAGGAACACGATCCTTTGGTAGTCGAAGTGCTATTGTGACAAATCAGGAAAAAAAATCCACACCAGCATGTTTATTTTTTGTTACTAGGCATTTGTGCTAAATTGGAAATTATTTAATTTGTTTACTTTCTGAAGGATGGGATATGTCCTTATTTAGTTGTTGCAACGACTATGGTCCGATGTACATGTATACTTTTGTTCATAAACAATGCATGTACGGAATATTTTTACATTAGAAATACTAGTTTTGATTTATACAGAATTTACCTACAATTAATCCTATCTCTCCGCGGAAATCACTAGTTTTAAATAGAATTGGTAGTATTTCAGTTGTACTCCTCAACTCCTCCCATCAATGCTACCGTTGGAAAGATCAAAGGCAAAGAGCGAAAAATGCATGCGTTCCCACGACAAAAGGCCTGTCCCGATTGTCCAGGAGTAAATACTCTCTGTAGTTAGTTCTATGTGTTCAGAATGAATTTGAAAAATTTCTTCATTAATTAGTCGCTGTTTTGAGTAGTAAAAAACTAATTTGGGGGCCTTATTTTTTGGGGGGCCCTGTGCAGTTGCACCTCCTGCACATGTGCCCCATACGGGCCTGCCCAAAGTCAGGTGTTCCCTAGCAGGAGCAAGGGTATTTGTTCAAGCTGCTTCTGAAATGTACTCTATATAAGTAAGTAAACCATGCGCAGTGGTTCGTTAATTCATACCTTGGGAACTTTAGGCAACCTTCAATTTATCCATAAGAGCGACACAACCGAAACACTTATTCTTCTTGTTCTTCATTCATGTCGCCTTTCGATTTCTCTGATGAGCTCAGCATCAGCAATGGCCCTTGCGCAGAGCCTCCCCCGGGCGACGCTCAGCCCCCTCCTCCTCCTTCCCCTCGCCGGTTTCAGCGGCAGCAACGTCGCTAGAAAAGTCCCGTGCAGGAGCGGAGCGCGGCCGG